TTTCCTCGTGGGCATGGCAGTAAAAATGCCTACTTTCTAGGGCTCCTGTGAGTTAATAGATATGAAGTACTTAGAACAGTGCTTGGTGCATAAAAAGTTCTCCATAAATGTTAGCTACTATTTTTGATTAGGTGGTAACTTAGAACTGTTGCAGACATATTATGGATGTAGACTCACAATGTTCACTCTGGGCAGTATAGGAATATCTACTGAAAAAGGGAATTGTGTACATAAACATGATATAGCTCAGGACAGTTATATCTAAATTAGAAGAACAATTCTTATGTGTCTCCTCAGTCTACTAAGCCACCCCTTAAGGCAGATCCCTTTTGAAATGGCCCTGAGCCTTCTATATCCAGTTATTAGGGTTCCCAAACCTTGGTGAGTAGTTATTTCTTACATGTAGTCTATTACCTTGCTTCTAAGGGTCATTTTGGCTTCTTCAGATATAACGTAGGCCCTGGTCACTTGTTCCCTAACTTCAGGTGATACACATTAGGGTCTCCGGAGCTCCACTGGCCTTCCTAAGAAGGGTAGGAGTCCCAGAATCCCAAAGCCTCTTTTCTAAAATCCTTCTCACAAAATTCTTCCTTAATTTCCACTCTCGGGGCCTTTTTATGTCTTTAATGTGAATGACAGATTTCAAGGATTATGCAGTTGGTTCTTCTGTATTTCTCCTTTTGGAAATTTTGCATATGGTCTGGCAATTTCTTTGGAATGCAACATCAATTGTATCTTGGTGCATGAGTCAGAGCTTCCAATTTAACATTCTGTTACATTTATAAACCCATCCTTTGTACCTCATCATGGTACATGGATAGAACATTTATAACTACCCAAGCCTCAGCGTTGATCTGATAGAGTTAGGGGTAAGGAAGGAAGGAAAGTAACATCTATTGAGTTTAACTAATTTGCTCAAGACTCACACAACTAGAAAAAGCAGAGCCAGAGCTCCTGTCCAGATCTGTATGTTCTAAAACCCAGGTTCATTTGCTATATAATGAGGTATTTATGCAAAATCTATCCAAGGAAATGCTTCTTTACATTCCTTCTTCCATAAACTCTCTTGGTTATATTCATCATTCTCTTAAAATATAGTCAAACTATTTTGGGTTTTTGGTAAATATAAGAAAATGTCAAAAATTTAGTCAATTTCTTTCTTCTCACCCATCATCTTTCTTCTACTTCATGAACGAGGCATGGGAAGCTTCCACTTTATAGCCTTTGAGAGCTTTTAAAAAAATTATTAAACTGACCATTTTGGCATTGTCCCAAGATGATGTGTTTATTAATTTGGTTATAAATATTTGAACTCCATACTCTAAATTCAATTTGTCATATAAGAGAAAATCATGTTAATGTGTATTTATGATTTATTTCTTCCCTGGTATCAGTGTGAGTTTCAGAAACCAAAACATGGCTTCTTCTTTCTAACCCTAACAGGGAAGACAAAAAGAAGCAGATCTATCTATCAAAATGCCTTAAAACCAGTTTTTGTCCATACCTAGATACATACCTATGAAGCTTTAGAGCACCAAGGAAAACAATGAACTCCGAAGAGATTCAATACAGGAAAAAAACAGGTTACTTTCTGGGGAATGAGAATCAGAAAGGCATTTGATTTCTTATCAGCAACACTGGTTGGTGGAAGACAATGGAATGATGCCTTCAAAGTTCTGATGGAAAATAATTTTGACCATGGAAATCTATACGCAGCCAAAACCTAGTGAAGTAGTGAGGGAGAAAACATATCAAACATGTAATAGTAATAAATTATAGTTGATACTTCTGAAGAAGATAATTGAGAATGAACTCCAGCAAAATGGAAAACATCATGAAGGAGGAAGGTATGAGATCCAGGAAATAATAGCTCTAACCTAGAAGGGCAGAGAGGGAAGTCCCTTGGTGACAGCTGGGCAGTCGCTAAAGAGCAAGCTATCTGGATGGGAGCAGAAATTCAGAGACAGCTGGGTGGATGTCTAAGGAAAGAAAGAGACTGGTCCACAAGTAAAAATATTTATATAATCATGATCATATAAGCCCTGTTTATACATTGTAGGTTATTAATTTTTAGAGTCAATCCCTAGACAAACCCACAGAAGGCTTAATTATGATTATAAAAAAGAACATAAATGTTATCAGTTTTGACAATGTAAATATATGAGTAGAGTTGACAGATAATGGAATGGGGGCACTGTGGAGGGAAAGGGAAAGATAGAGCCAACAATAATCTTATCAAACATATATAAAGTTGCTAAAATGAGAAATAAACTTTGGCTATATGATTTGACACTACAAACGTAACCAGTAAGAAAATCTAAGCTGTAAGTATTAGAAATTGGGAAGATGGAGATAGATGGAGTGGGAGGGGGGAGTGTAAGGGAACTAAATATCATTCATAGCAGGGGTGAATAGTTATTGTTTAAAGCTGATAAAAAGAGAAACAGGGATATAGCCCTGTTAGAATTAAAATAAGCACAGAAGTCCAAAGAGGCATTTCTGGAGCAGCAGGTGATTAAGAGGGGGGTGACTTGGAGCAAACCAAGGACTCCTTAGAAGATCGCCTCTTGTCATCTTCATTATGAGCAGGAGATGTAAACCTACCAGGTGGTTAGCCCAGCCTTAGATGCTACTGAATGTGGGCCAGGCTGGACAGGAACTCTCCAGGTTAATCTTCATGATTTGAATCCAGATAACGGGAAATGGAAACTCATGTTTCTTTCTGACCAGCTATGAAGTTTTAGTTCTTATACACCGTTTCCATTTTGCCCTGTCACTCCATGTACCACTTGTTTTACCAACGACTCATGTAGTTGACTTTGCTCCTCGAAGAAACTCCTAGAAAAGTTGGAATTTCTCTTTTTATTACACATGTTACTCCGAAGAATGTGTCAGTCAGGGCTAAAGCAATAGTCTCAGGGCAGACAGGCAGTTTGCCTGATGACAACATTGTAGCAGAGTATTGCAATCTGCTGATTTCAGAGTGAGTGCACGGCACTGGTTGAGGTCCTGGGCAGCCTGAAGCAGGTGAGACAGGCGAGCAGGGTACCTGCCTCATAGCTCAGAGAAGACTATTGGCTGGAAAGCGTTTTCCCTTTGTTCTTCTTTGTTGCTTTAACTGGGTGAAATGTTGCTCATACTGGATTTCTAAGTCTGATAGCCTAAAGCGAGTTTTGGCCAGATGACTTTTATGGACAGTTGTGTTTACTTTGTGAAAGTGGAAGCAACAATAAGAATTATAGGAATTTATAGGTTTTAGCAGTTGTTTAAAATTATTTTTTACAGAATGCATTTGCAAGAGATTAATGTTTAGGAGTGGCTGAAACGCTCAGAGAGCCTCAAACACTTTATGGTATGTTGAGATTGAGACTTTTCAAATGTGCCCAGAGTTTCTAAATTCTTTGAAACCCTTCTGAGACCTTCTCTGGAGGAACACTTGGCCCCTGTCAACATGTTTACTATGTGTCCTCCATCATTTGCAAGGTTGGTTCCAATAGTACATCAGGAAATGGGATTCTGGGGCACAGAAGTAATACAGAAGAGTGGATTTGAGAATCACCTATTCAGATTAATCAAACGGGAAGTTAAATCTATGGTCTATATAGTTTGGTAATAAAAGAAACAATATTTCTCCAATCCATCATTTCTCCAATCCATCAAGCTCCTATTCTTCAGACAACTTTCCTCAAGTCCTTGGCAGGATACACCCAAGACTAAGAACTTATAATTCTCCAGCAGGGGAGGAAAGTTCCTGATAATGGGTCTTGTTTTTCACCACCTCATGGACGCTTTTTGGATTCTTCACTGTAAGAGTCTTGGAAAGTATTTGATTGTGTGTCACCATTTTCCTAAATACTGATTAGTTTTCTTTCACTCTGATGGAGTGGTTGCTGAAGATGTGGTTGGGAATCGCTACCAAGCATCACTGAGCCTGGGCCCTACAGGGATCCACCTTCATCTCCGCTCGCTTTTCTTCTATTACCTTTGTGAATAGCTCATCTGTAGAAATCCTTCCATGTCCTTCGGTAGACTTGGCACCAAGCAAGATGGAGATTTTCAAGCTCTCCAGCAGCAGAGATTCAGGCTGTCACCCCAGAAGCTGCACCTGGACTGGACCCATTTGTACCGATGGCACTGGGTCCTGCAGTATCTGCACAGTCCTAAAAATAGCTCTCAATTAACATTGCATTTCAAGAATTGGAAAATTTCCCAGAAGTCCATTCTTTTCTCCTTTTTCTATTTCATTACATTTTGCAGTAATAATACACAAGCCTGCAGAAAACATGACGGGTAATGAAAAAGTGTAATTAATATAAGCAATGTAAAGCATGTTTTTTTTCTCTGTTGTCCTTGCAGAAAATTGCTGCTTTAAACCAAGCAGGATGTGAAAATGCATAAAACCCCCCTTTAATCTGCTGTGGTTTGTAAATATCTTATGCAAAACAGTTAAGTCAACTGTCAGATTTTTTTTTTTTTTAATGTAAGTCACATATTCTTGTAAAAAACTTTTTTTCCTGCAGGATAAATTGGCTGATTTGGACAACTCCTTTTGAGGGGGGAGGAATGGAGGTGATGGTAAGGGGTTTCAACAATAAACCTGAAAACAGGAAGAACCTGATTTTTGGATGACAACTTTGTCCATCAGATTCATCTAAACAGCAGTTCAGTGTGCTGCCTCTGTGTACACTCAGTTTTGGTTCAGTACTTGGGAGAAGTAAGCATTCTTGCTACTATTTCACACCAATACACCCCATCCCATTAATTGAAATAAAGTGAGAAAGAGGCCCAGAAGCTGTGGTCTTTGCCGGCATTCCTCAGACCATTTCGGTTTCCTTATCTGGACCACTAGCAGCATCCAGAGGTGTGTGGCTAGAAGGTCACAACATAAGTTCAAAGCTGAAATACAAAACTTTATTCCCAGAACATCTTCCTAGGCTGGAGAAGAAAATGCTTATGATTTGTTTTCATTTGTTCTTTCCTATTTTTTTTTCCAACTGCAGCTGACATACATGATTGGTTATTATTTATTTCCATCTCATTTTGGGTTCTGAAAGTTTCCCCAAGGCACTGGTGTGTGTGAACTTTCAGATTGCACTTGGGAATGGCTGGCCTCATCCCCTCTGCTCCACTGGGATCCCTGGTGAAGGTAGGTTCCCCCATCTGAGAAGCGGTGCCCCTCTCCTGTGGCATTCTGGGAGGCCATTTGGAGTCCCAGATGTAGGAAATGAAATAATCCACGCTTATATGGTCACAAAGTGCCCATCTGGCACCCAGGAACTCTGCATGATAGGAGCACACAGGCGTGAGCTCACTATTGTTATGGCATTTCATAAACAGAGATGCAACCAGCTAGAGAAGAAGGACTTTGGGATGATAACAATCATTTTCCACTCCCCTCCCTTTCTGCCTGCTACCCTCCAAACACACACACACACACACACACACACGCACACACCCCTACACACACTCACATACCCCTACACACACACTCACACACTCGCATGCACACACACGCCCCTACACACACACTCACACAACCCCCTACACACACACCCCTACACACACTCTCACACAACCCCCTACACACACGCACACACACCCCCTACACACATGCACACACACCCTTATACACACACGCACACACATGCAGCCCTACACACACGCGCACACACGCCCCTACACACACACTCACACAACCCCCTACACACACACCCCTACACACACACCCACACAACCCCCTACACACACACCCACACAACCCCCTACACACACACTGACACAACCCCCTACACACACACACACCCCTACACACACATGCACACACACCCCTACACACACACGCAGCCCTACACACATACACACGCACACACACCCCTTAACCTTTCTAAAACATAAGGGCCAGGGAGAAGAAAGCGGGGGATCTATCCTCCAAAAGGCAACATTTTTTCCCAGAGGGTCTGAAGGAGAAATTTCCATTAACAGCTAAATCCCTCCCCACCACCTCTCCATGCACATTATTGTTTTTATGCCCTGCATCTTAGGACTCACAGGCGAGGGTGTGAAATGTGACCAGTCAACTCTTCGCTAGCTCACTTCTTGTACATCACTCTCAAAATAAGGAAAAGCAGCAGCGGGAGGGATTTCATAAATCACACAACCACTGCACTGCTTACTAGCCCTGAAACCAAATTCACAGGAGAATCTAGTAACTGACCTCAAAGCTTTTTCTTTAGTTTCGTTTTAAGTGTTTGTGCCAAAGTAGGAGCAACAGAAGCTCGGCAAAGGCGGTGTGGGTTGGAGAACAGCTTCGGGCTGAGAACACGCGTATGTGAATGAGAAAGGGGTGACTCTCCCCACGCAAGCTGGATGTTGACATTCAACCCCAGTTGTAAGAAAGAGCAGGTCAGACCTGGTAACTAAGCCTGCTGGGCAGGGGTAACGGTTACACCAGCTCTCCTTTTAATCTGTGGTGCTAACTCTATTATCCTTTAAAAACACAGATTTCTAAGAGACTTGTGTCCAGAGATAAGACTGAGATCCCTAATGGAGCAGGTAACTCAGGACACTGTGAAGAAGTCCAGCGACAAGGACCGGGCTTACATCAAAGACTGGTTAAGTCATGTGCTGATTTGTATTATCCTAGCATTAAAATGAGGGAAAAGAATCACTGTAGACATTTCACTCGATGTTGTTCTGAACTGTAATAAAAAACATCAGGTTGCATTACCCTTCCCAAAGATCACGTTCAGCTCTCTCAGCACTTCCAGCCTCCCAAGGAGACATTTTCAAAGCAGCTAGATTTTTCGGCCCTAGAGAGGAAAACAATCACAGAAACACAAGCAGAGCCCATCCCTGGCCCCTGCTGACCAAACGGCAGGCACTTGGGAGAAACAAGCTGGCTGGAAGGTGTCCCAGCGGAATAGAGGTTCCTGGAGTCCTGAAGGCGAGGGAGGAAAAAAACAAATGGATCTCTCCTAGGGGAACCAGCTCTTTCCTCTCAGGCTCTGCTCTGCCTTCTCAGAGACTGGGATCTGCTTGCTTGCCAATGAAACCAAAGCACCGAGTGGGTAGCACAAGGCGATGTTTGTAAATATGACAAACCATTGCAATATTACAGCTTTTCATTTGGAAAGCCACTTAGGCAAGAAATGATTACTGACCCATGATATGTAAATGACGGGAATGCAGAAATTAGTATTTGGGTCAACTTGTATATTTTTCAACCATGAAATGAAAGTCTCAGTGTTCACATTCCAATTCATACATGAAAGCATCAGGGTGCTATTAGTTGTCTATTGTGTTAATTTATTGTTGTCTTAATTCATGTTTTCAGAGCCACTGTGAGGGTATAGATCTACTTTCTATGCACTAATGTTGCAACTGGAAGAGGGGATGATGCGTCTCTGGGCCAGCTGGTGTCCTGAGGGGGTTCTACTTTAGTTGAGGAGAAAGGAAGTGATTCTGAAGGAGAGGCTAGGGGGATCCTTTTCAAATATTTCAAATATGGCATAAGTCTATCACTTCCCTTTCTTTGAGTTCATAAATCCACAAGAATGTGTTGGACAATCGGGCTACCATGACAAGTTCCTAGGTGCCTTTGGGGACACGAAAAATACCTAAAAGGACCTTTGTCTTCCAGGTTGGAGCAAAAGAGACTCACTGTGGAAAAAATGCAGGAACTCAGAGGGAGAGAGAATTTAGGAAGACTTTTTGGAGGAGGTGACATTTCAGCTGGTTTTGAAGGGTGTTAGAAGTTAAGAGATGAAAGGAAGGAGAAGAGTCATTCCAGGCAGACAGCAAGCGAAAAGTCCCAGAGGATGGAGTACCATGCTGCATAAACCGAGGTCCCCCTTCACTGAAACAGAAAGTGGCTATCGAAGAGCAAAGGTGTGGGAGAACATACAGAGAAGTCCCCCAAGGTGGGCCCCTGAAGACCAGTGAGAGTTCCTTCCCAAGTGAGCCTGATGAAGGCCATGGGAAAGCAGTTTGGGCCTACCTAGATTGTGTACAAATGCAGCCAGGATTGGAGCTGGGAGACACTGTGGAAGGAAGGCCAGTTGGGAGGTAGGATTAGCAATTTAAAGTCAGGGAAAGAAGGCCCGGAGCCGGGGTGCTTGTCACATGTGTTAGGAGAAACGGCAGAGGGATGGGCAGGAGAGGGTGGTCTGGGAGACAGGAAACGAAGTGTTAGGGGATGCATCTGAAAGCTGTGTGCAGAGGGAGAGAGTTACTGTCAGCCCTTACGTTCTGTGGTTTTACAGAGCAAAACGCTTACGTGATGCCGAGAGTAAGTGGGGTAAGGAAATAATGACGGTTTTGCCTTTTAATCTAATTAATTGGCTAGAGGGCACTCTGGGTATTTCCACTGTGCAACTACATCTCCTCCTCTTGTAACCTCCTACATCATAGCCTCGAGATTGGGTAGTGCTGAGATCTCTGGCTTCATTCAACGTTGGTCCTTGGATCTGGGTGTGCCAGCCCCTTTAAGCACAGGCACTCAGTCAGACCCTTTACCTGGGGGTCTCAAGGTCAGAAGAGATATTCTGCCTGAGAGGTGAACTGAGGGCAGGACAGTTTTGAAAATGTGGGTTAGACCAATAGTTCTCAATGGAGTTTATACTGCCCCCTACAGGGTGCTTTGGAAGTTCCTAGTAACACTTTTCGGAGGTCACCAAACTGGGTGGGAGCCAGGGATGCGAGACATCCTCTGTTCACAGGAGAGTCCAGCACAAGGCAGAATCCTGTAGCATCTCATATGGCTTTTGAGTGTCCTGCCAGGCATTCATGTAGGTAAACCTGTTTATACTTATCTAAGCCTAAAACCTAGCTCCAATTTATATAATTTGTTGCCCAGTTTTAATACACACTAAATTTTCTATGAATTTACAGCTACCATATATATTAAGGAAAGATTATATATATATTTTGGATTTTATTTTATTGATTTATTTTTCATACAGCAGGCTCTTATTAGTTATCCATTTTATACACATCAGTGTATACATGTCAATCCCAATCTCCCAATTCATCCCACCACCACCCCCATCCCCCGCTGCTTTCCCCCCTTGGTGTCCATACGTTTGTTCTCTACATCTGTGTCTCAATTTCTGCCCTGCAAACCGGTTCATCTGTACCATTTTTCTAGATTCCCCATACATGCGTTAATATACGATATTTGTTTTTCTCTTTCTGACTTACTTCACTCTGTATGACAGTCTCTAGGTCCATCCACGTCTCTACAAATGACTCAATTTCATTCCTTCTTATGGCTGAATAATATTCCATTGTATATATGTACCACACCTTCTTTATCCATTCGTCTGTCAATGGGCATTTAGGTTGCTTCCATGACCTGCCTATTGTAAATAGTGATGCAGTGAACATTGGGGTGCATGTGTCTTTTTGAATTATGGCTTTCTCTGGGTATATGCCCAGTAGTGGGATTGCTGGGTCATATAGTAATTCTATTTTTAGTTTTTTAAGGAACGTCCATACTGTTCTCCATAGTGGCTGTTATCAATTTACGTTCCCACCAACAGTGCAAGAGGGTTCCCTTTTCTCCACACCGTCTCCAGCATTTGTTGTTTGTAGATTTTCTGATGATGCCCATTCTAACTGGTGTGAGGTGATACCTCACTGTAGTTTTGATTTGCACTTCTCTAATAATTAGTGATGCTGAGCAGCTTTTCATGTGCCTTTTGGCCATCTGTATGTCTTCTTTGGAGAAATGTCTATTTAGGTCTTCTGTCCATTTTCTGATTGGGTTGTTTGTTTAATATTGAGCTGCATGAGCTGTTTATATATTTTGGAGATTAATCCTTTGTCCGTTGTTTCATTTGCAAATATTTTCTCCCAATCTGAGGGTTGTCTTTTCGTCTTGTTTATAGTTTACTTTGCTGTGCAAAAGTTTTTAAGTTTCATTAGGTCCCATTTGTTTATTTTTGTTTCTATTTCCATTACTCTAGGAGGTGGGTCAAAAAAGATCTTGTTGTGATTTATGTCAAAGAGTGTTCTTCCTATATTTTCCGCTAAGAGTTTTATAGTGTTTGGTCTTACATTTAGGTCTTCAATCCACTTCAAGTTTATTTTTGTGTATGGTGTTAGGGAATGTTCTAATTTCATTCTTTTACATGTAGCTGTCCAGTTTTCCCAGCACCACTTATTGAAGAGTCTGCCTTTCTCCATTTTATATCCTTGCCTCCTTTGTCATAGATTAGTTGACCATAGGTGTGTGGGTTTATCTCTGGGCTTTCTATCCTGTTCCACTGATCTATAATTCTGTTTTTGTGCCACTACCATATTGTCTTGATTACTGTAGCTTTGTAGTATAGTCTGAAGTCAGGGAGTCTGAGTCCTCCAGCTCCGTTTTTTTCCCTCAAGAGTGCTTTGGCTATTCAGTGTCTTTTGTGTCTCCAAACAAATTTTAAGATTCTTTGTTCTATTCCTGTAAAAAATGCCATTGGTAATTTGATAGGGATTGCATTGCATATGTAGATCGCTTTGGGTAGTATAGTCATTTTCACAATATTGATTCTTCCAGTCCAAGAACATGGCATATCTCTCCATCTGTTTGTGTCACCTTTGATTTCTTTCATCAGTGTCTTATAGTTTTCTGAGTACAGGTCTTTGACCTCCTTAGGTAAGTTTATTCCTAGGTATTTTATTCTTTTTTTGGTGGTGAATGGGATTGTTTCCTTAATTTCTCTTTCTGATCTTTCATTGTTAGTGTATAGGAATACAAGAGATTTCTGTGCATTAATTTTGTATCCTGCTACTTTACCAAATTCATTGATTAGCCCTAGTAGTTTTCTGGTGGCATCTTTAGGATTCTCTATGTATAGTATCATGTCATCTGCAAACACTGACAGTTTTACTTCTTCTTTTCCAATTTGTATTCCTTTTCTTTCTTTTTCTTCTCTGATTGCCATAGCTAGGACTTCTAAAACTATGTTGAATAATAGTGGTGAGAGTGGACATCTTTGTCTTGTTCCTGATCTTAGAGGAAATGCTTTCAGTTATTCACCATTGAGAATGATGTTTGCTGTGGGTTTGTCGTATATGGTCTTTATTATGTTGAGGTGGGTTCCCTCTATGCCCACTTTCTGGAGAGTTTTTATCATAAACAGGTGTTGAATTTTGTCAAAAGCTTTTTCTGCATCTATTGAGATGATCATATGGCTTTTATTCTTCAGTTTGTTAATATGGTGTATCACATTGATTGATTTGAGTATATTGAAGAATCCTTGCATCCCTGGGATAAGTCCCACTTGATCATGGTGTATGATCCTTTTAATATGTTGCTGGATTCTGTTTGCTAGTATTTTGTTGAGGAGTTTTGCATCTATATTCATCAGTGATATTGGTCTATAATTTTCTTTTTTTGTAGTATCTCTGTCTGGTTTTGGTATCAGGGTGATGGTGGCCTTGTAGAATGAGTTTGGGAGTATTTCTTCCTCTGCAATTTTTGGGAAGAGTTTGAGAAGGATGGGTCTCAGCTCTTTTCTAAATGTTTGATAGAATTCACCCGTGAAGCCATCTGGGCCTGGACTTTTGTTTGTTGGAAGATTTTTAATCACAGTTTCAATTTCGTTACTTGTGATTTGTCTGTTCATATTTTCTATTTCTTCCTGGTCAGTCTTGGAAGGTTATACCTTTCTAAGAATTTGTCCATTTCTTCCAGGTTTTCCATTTTATTGGCATAGAGTTGCTTGTAGTAGTCTCTTATAATTCTTTGTGTTTCTGCCGTGTCTGTTGTAACTTCTTTTTCATTTTTAATTTTATTGATTTGAGTCCTCTCCCTTTTTTCTTGAGGTGTCTGGCTAAAGGTTTATCAATTTTGTTTATCTTCTCAAAGAACCAGTTTTTAGTTTTATTTATCTTTGCTATTATTTTCTTTGTTTCTATTTCATTTATTTCTGCTCTGATCTTTATGATTTTTTACTTCTACTAACTTTGGGTTTTGTTTCTTCTTCTTTCCCTAGTTCCTTTAGGTTAGATTGTTTATCTGAGATTTTTCCTGTTTCTTGAGGTAGGATTGTATTGCTATAAACTTCCCTCTTAGAACTGCTTTTGCTGCATCCCATAGATTTTGGATTGTCATGTTTTCACTGTCATTTGTCTCTAGGTATTTTTTGATTTCCTCTTTGATTTCTTCAGTGATCTCTTGGTTATTTAGTAACATATTGTTCAGCCTCCATGTGTTTGTGTTTTTTATGTTTTTTCCCTGTAACTGATTTCTAATCTCATAGCATTGTGGTTGGAAAAGATGCTTGATATGATTTCAGTTTTCTTAAATTTACTGAGACTTGATTTGTGACCCAGGATGTGGTCTATCCTGGAGAATATTCCATGTGCACTTGAGAAGAAAGTGTAATCTGCTGTTTTTGGATGGAATGTCCTATAAATATCATTGAAGTCTATCTGGTCTATTGTGTCATTTGAAGCTTGTGTTTCTTTATGAATTTTCTGCCTGGATGATCTGTCCATTGGTGTAAGTGAGGTGTTAAAGTTCCCCACTATTATTGTGTTACTGTTGATTTCCTCTTTTATAGCTGTTAGCATTTGACTTATGTATTGATCATTATGTAATGATCATTATGTAATGTCATTATGTAGTGTCATTCTTTGTCTCTTGTAACATTCTTTATTTTAAAGTCTATTTTATCTGGTATGAGTATTGTTACTCCAGCTTTCTTTTGATTTCCCTTTGCATGGAATAGCTTTTTCCATCCCCTCGCTTTCAGTCTGTATGTGTCCTTAAGTCTGAAGTGGGTCTCTTGTAGACAGCATATATATGGGTCTTGTTTTGGTATCCATTCAGCGAGCCTGTGTCTTTTGGTTGGAGCATTTAATCCATTCACATTTAAGGTAATTATCCATATGTATGTTCCTATTACCATTTTCTTAATTGTTTTGGGTTTGTTTTTGTAGGTCCTTTTCTTCTCTTTTGCTTCCCACTTAGAGAAGTCCCTTTACCATTTGTGGTAGAGCTGGTTTGGTGGTGCTGAATTCTCTTAGCTTTTGCTTGTCTGTAAAGCTTTTGATTTCTCTGTCGAATCTGAATCAGATCCTTGCTGGGTAAAGTAATCTTGGTTGTAGTTTCTTCCCTTTCATCACTTTAAATATATCATGCCACTCCCTTCTAGCCTGTAGGGTTTCTGCTGAGAAATCAGCTGTTTCTCAATCTTATGGGAGTTCCCTTGTATGTTTTTCCCTTTTTTCTTTTAATAATTTTTCTTTGTCTTTAATTTTTGTCAGTTTGATTACTATGTGTCTCAGCATGTTTCTCCTTGGGTTTATCCTGCCTGGGACACTCTGCACTTCCTGGACTTGGGTGGCTATTTCCTTTCCCATGTTAGGAAAGTTTTTGACTATAATCTCTTCAAATATTTTCTTGGGTCCTTTCTCTCTCTCTTCTCCTTCTGGGACCCCTCTAATGCAAATGTTGGTGCATTTAATGTTGTACCAGAGGTCTCTTAGGCTGTCTTCATTTCTTTTTATTCTTTATTTTGTTCTGCAGCCGTGAATTCCACCATTCTGTCTTCCAGGTTACTTATC